CTCATCTAACATTGCACAAACCATTGCACTGGCAGAAGGTGAGACCACCCTTCCTATTAAATCCAATCCCACATAAGGTATTATGGAAGTGATTAATAAGCTGTCACAAATGTGACAATTCTGGGACAGTAGCTCTACCGTGGTCCGATACCCCCCCCTTTCCCTCCTTTTCCTCCCCTGAGTTTTACCCAAGTTCGCATACTTAATAGATGACATGTTCGCTATACAGGTCCAAGACATAGATGGTGACAGCATACGATTGCCAGCAAGCTTCGCTCGATTGGGAAGCAATTTATTCCTTACTGTCAACTATGGATATATAACTAATATATACGTGTAACTGATTGTATGCCACTGACGACTACTCATTGCCCTTTGTTACATGTAACGAATACATTGTATATCTTGGTGAACACTTGATGCTGAATAATCGATGTAACTTGCTGTGTATTTGCATACTTATATGTACCTGTATTTCTGTATATTCTACCAATAAAGAACAAAAAGCATCTTTAAAAAAAAAAAAAAATACACTATGTGACACAAGTTACAATAAAACTATACATTTAACATATCCCCAGATAGCTCAGGTCTGAGCGCACATTATTAAACGAATGGCACTCAGACCACACGAAAACAGTTTAATCGCCATGGAGCCAGTCTTCACAAAGTCAGTTCTCATACGAATGAGCTCCATGGGATTCCTATCTGGGGTATGGTGTAGTCAGGTACAACTACCGAATACAGGGCCGTTCGTGAACGTCCATCGAACAAGAAGGGAGGTTGGCGGCTTCAGCGGTGTTCGTGCCAAACTGTGTCCGTTTTTAGTTCCATGAGTTAGGCGTCGAACACCGCTGTGCGTTCGCGTGTTTAAAATGGCCACGACCTTGTGTTCGGTATACGAATAGCAGCCACCCAGTATTCGTCAATTAAGCTGCGGTTAACCGCAACTTCTGGGAGGCTAATTGCCGGCACACTCCAGCTCCCAGGTGGTCTAGTCATTCGTGCGGTTGTTCGGTAGATTGAATCTACCGAACACCGGGCAGAAAAGCATGAATAAGTCTTTTCTGCAGGGGAAAAGAGGTCTTTTAACATGGGGCCATAATCCAAAGGCAGCAGGCGAGCAGCCAGGCTTCTCCAATGCAATGTGGCGAGATTGCTCTCATCACAAGCCCTATTTAGGCTTTCTTTATTGCAAGTTCTGTTTACTTAAGATTTTCTCATCCCCTGCTGTGTTAATAGCTTGCTAGACCCTGCAAGTGCCTCCTGTATGTGATTAAAGTTAAATTTAGAGATTGAGATACAATTATTTAAGGTAAATTACATCTGTTTGAAAGTGAAACCAGTTTTGTTTTCATGCAGGCTCTGTCAATCATAGACAGGGGAGGTGTGGCTAGGGCTGCATAAACAGAAAAAGTGATTTTATTAAAGACACGGAGGCTCATATTATGCATAACTCTTTCTTTATTTCCTCAGCAGCAAAGATAGAGGAATATAAATATATCAAAAATGAAAGAAAAAACTGTATAGATACACAGGCAACCAATCACATAACAGAGGAAGTGACTATATAAGGCCTGTGTCTCCCACAATCCCCCTCTTTCTTTGCTGCTTCCTCAGACAGCTAAGTATTTGCTCTTATCCTTAGATTGTCTCTGATATTGTAGTTATTGTCTGTTTTGCATTATATTCATTGTTTACCTGTTGCTTGTTTGGGTTGCCTCTGCTGGGCAGCCTTACGCTGGTGTACTCGGGCTATCCCCTTCATCTTCTCCTGGGTTCCCCCCCGGTTACCCTGTCTCTCCTGCGCTCTCTCTTCCCCCCCCTGCAGGTGCCGCGCGGGACCCGGCTGTATCTCATAGCCGCGGCCGACTTCTAAGCCGCGGCTGTGTTCTGTCTCTGCTTCCCCGATCGCGGGCTGCCCGCACGGGTAGGGTGCACGCGCCCCCTCCCCCGCCGGGGATCAGTCCGTGATCGTGCTACCACACGTGCGGCGGCCATTTTGGGCGATCCGTCGGCTGATCGGTCGCTCACTCTGCTGCTGCCGTGCGGTCTGTCTCCCCGGTCTGGGTCCCCTGAGTGCACCAGCGGGCAGGTTTTCTTTCAGTGTTCCCTGTGGGTTACTCAACCCTTTTCCATTTAGTGTTCTTAAAGCTGTATTCCGGTCTATTTGATATTCTTTAGTTATTGCAGATATTTTGCTTCGGTTATATACTGTGCCCAGTTAAAGGTATATTCCCTATTATTGCCACCATGCAGGATAAGGAGGATGGGCCTATTGGCACCCCTGGTGACTTTAATATTGATAACCCTGAGGGTGCTATGGCCTCCCAGGAGTTTCAGGCCCTGTTGGATGCCACTATGGCTTCGTCCTTACAAAAAGCTTTTGCTTCTGCAATGGGTGCTGTTTCTTCCTCCTTCTCTCAGTCCCTGCATTCTATGCTTATGCCCTCACTGCCTGCCCCCACCCTCCAGGGTGCGGGGTCCCCTTCTTCTGCACAGACTGTGCCTGGTACCCGTAAGGCGAAGGCAAAATCTAAGCACGTTGATTCCCACTCCTCGATGCAGGTGTTACCTGCCATGACTGACACACTTGATGTGGTCACAGACAGCGCGCACCCCACGCGCAAAAGAGCCCCTGGCCAGGCTAAAAAGGCTAGATTGTGGAAAAGGGCTAGAGCCCTAGATGATGAGTCGGATACCGACCGGAGTGTGGAACGTGACTCTGATGCTATGGAGTATGACTCCTACGATGAGGGAGGGTCAGACGAAGAATTACCCTCCGCAGAGGTTGCCCCCTCTGGGTCCTCTGCCGTTGCCCTAGGCCAAGTTAAGGTTCCCTCTGGGGACAGTAAGGCCATTTTTGACCCCCAGGGAAACCCACTGTTCGACCCTGACGACCTACGTCACCCACGGTCAGCAGAGTGGGTCCCCCCGGACCATATTGCACAATATGTGGCTAAACGCCTGCGTACACCCCTCTCCAAGGAGGGTCGCAACAAGTTGCGTGCCGAATGCCCTAGACCCTCTCTCCCGGGCTCGGCCTGTAAGACTCCGGATATTGACCCCCAAATCGCCCAGTTCATGAATAAATCAGGCTGGAAGCCCAAGAAGGGTTTGGATTACTTCCTCGAGGGATGTCAAGATAAGATATTGGATACCCTGGGCCCTCTGTCTAAACTATACGAGCTACTAGATGCCGCTAGGGCTGGAGACTCGATTATGGATATCGATGTGGCCATTGGGTGGGTCCAGAGGGCGATCTGCCTCTTGGGGAACGCTAATACCGCCATGTCTTCGGAGAGGCGTAAGGCGATTCTCCTTAAGATCGATCCCAAATTGGCTGCCATGACGGTAGCGGAACCTGACCCATCTGACGAGGGTTTACTGTTTGGAACCTCTTTCGTGAAGGACCTTGGTTCCTATGTTAAGACCTTTACGGCCATTGACAAGGCCCAGGCGAATATGAAACGCATGTTCGCGCCCAAGGTTTTCGGTGGGGCCAGGCGTAGCAGGAACCGTCCACCCGGCCGGGGCTTCCGTGGCTCGTTCAGGGCCTCCAGAGGTTCCTTCTTTCCTTCCCGAGGATTTCAGGATACGAGGTCGCCTCCCTTCTTCCCAGCCAGAGGGAGATCCTGGGGCTCCAGGTATCCCCGTGGTGCCGCTTCGGGCAGACGTCCTTATGGTGAGTACCCATTTTTCCCCTCTCGATCATGTAAGGGTGGCAGGGAGGCTAGCCTTATTCTACCAGGGGTGGACAGATGTAACCTCAGATGCCTGGGTTTTGCAATGTGCAAAGGGTTATCACCTGGAGTTCGTTTCTATGCCTGTCCAGGTTCGCACCCCCAGAGAGTTGTCCCTCCCACAGGATCAGGACGACATGATTTCCAAGGAAGTAGAGGAGATGCTCACGAAAGGTGCCATAGAAGAGATGCCGTTGGCCTCTCCGGGCTTCACGAGCAATCTTTTTCTGGTGCCAAAGAAAGGGGGCGGGGTTCGTCCCGTGATAAATCTTCGTCCCCTCAACGCATTTCTCCGCTACCAACATTTCCAGATGGAGGGTATACACTGCCTCAGAGACCTCCTTCGGCAATCAGATTGGTTGGCCAAGTTGGATCTGAAGGACGCATACTTTACAGTCCCCATCGCGCTGGACTGCAGGGATTACCTCCACTTCACGTGGCACGGTCGACGCTGGCGCTTCACGTGCCTGCCGTTCGGTCTCTCGTCGGCCCCTTGGTGTTTCACCAAACTCATGAAGCCAGTAATGGCTTACCTTCGTACCCGTGGGGTGCGACTGATCGTTTACCTGGACGACATATTGATCATGTCCCAATCCAGGGAATCTCTGCTGTTACATTTGGGTTGGACAATCAACCTTCTCCAAAATTTGGGTTTTCTGATCAACTGGGACAAGTCGGTCATGACCCCTACCCAGTCTATAGAATTCTTGGGTTTCCAGGTGGACTCCATCAGGCAATTCCTGTACTTGCCGGAGTCAAAGATGAAGGCCATTCAGAAGGAGCTCCGAAGGGCTCTTCGGGTGCCGGATATGTCCGTCAGGCAACTGGCAAGGATTATCGGCCTTCTGGCGGCTTCGATTCAGGCGATCTTTCCGGGCCCGCTACACTACCGTGCCCTCCAACGACTCAAGGGTTCACACCTGCGTTCGGGTCGCTCTTACGAGTCCCGGATACGTCTGGACGACGAGTCCAGAGACGAGTTGGTATGGTGGTTGGCACACATGGAGGCCTGGAACGGACGGGCCATCTTCGGTTCGTCCCGGATGTCGTGATAGAATCCGATGCCAGCTTACACGGCTGGGGTGCTCGTTGTGGAGACGTTTCCACCGGAGGCAGATGGTCCGACATAGAGAGGTCCCTACACATCAATTGTCTGGAACTGCTGGCGGGGGCCTTCGTGATACGCAGTCTGACCCCAGGCCGAGCAGACTGTTGCGTTCTGCTCAAGATGGACAATGTGTCGGCAGTCCGGTACATAAATCATCTTGGGGGTACCAAGTCCAGAATGTTGGCGCTATTGGCGAAGGATTTCTGGCAATTTTGTCTCCTCAACAATGTCTCGGTACAGGCGGAACACATCCCGGGCCTGGACAATTCGGGAGCAGATTGGAATTCCAGGCACTTAAGAGACTTGGGAGATTGGCACTTGCACGTTTCAGTTTTCCGAGGTCTGGACAATCTCTGGGGACGCTTCGAGTTGGACCTGTTCGCTTCACGTCTGAACACTCAACTCCCGGCGTTTTACAGCTGGAGGCCAGACCCGGCAGCAGTAGCGACGGACGCCTTTCTCCAAGACTGGCCTCCGGGACGCCTGTATGCCTTCCCACCGTTCAACATGATCGCTCGCACGATATCGAAGTTGATCCGGCACGATTGCTGCCTGGTACTGATCACACCTCTTTGGAGGTCCCGTCCATGGTTCCCACGCTTGATGGAGTTGTCGATAGACTACCCCAGACTGATTCCGAGCTTCCAGGATCTTCTCCTGGATCCGGATGGGAACTCGCATGAGCTGGTGCACCGACATCAGTTACCTCTGATGGCGTGGCTCCTTTCAGGGGTACCTGGGTTGTCCCGAATGTTTCGCGGACGACTCTACAACTCCTCGATAACGCCTGGGCTCCAGGTACGCGATCGGCCTACCGCTCTTCATGGGGCTCATGGTCTAGTTGGTGCATGGAACGGGCAGTGGATCCCGTATCTGCCCCTCTCCATCTGATTCTGGAATACCTCACTTTTCTGTTTGATTCGGGCAAGGTGTATCGAACTATCAACCTTTTTCGTTCCGCTATATCGGCTGGACATGTTGGTTTGGATGGTTCGCCCGCGGGCAGACACCCCTTCGTGTGTCGCCTGCTCAAGGGCATTCGCCTCGCCCGTCCGCCCAAGGCTCGTTTCTCTGCCTTTTGGGACGTTAACATTATGCTTCAGTTTCTGTCTTCCTGGTACCCGAACCAGGGGCTGACCCTTAAGCAACTGTCTTCCAAGTTGGTTATGTTGCTTTGTTTGGTTTCATGTAAAAGGGTTTCTGACGTTAGGGCCCTTGATTGGGACGCCGTTACCTTCTCCCCTGAAGGTGTGACTTTTAACATTTCCAGACGGACTAAATCTGCATCAAGGTCTTTCGTATACCCTAGATTCCAAGGGTGTCCGGCACTCTGTCCAGTGGAGTGTTTGAAGGTCTATATGGAGGTGACTCGGCCTCTTCGCTCACCAGATTTACGACCTTTGCTCATTTCTTTTCGTACACCGCATCGACCTGTGGCGACACCGACCCTGGCACGTTGGGTGCGTTGGCTTTTGTCTGCGGCTGGTATAGACACGTCTATCTTTACACCCCATTCGGTGAGGGGTGCTATGGCTTCCAAGGCTTCGACAGTCGTCTGTCGTCTGGAGGACATCATGCGTGCAGCGGATTGGTCTCGAGAGTCGACCTTCCGTGACTTCTACTTCAGACCTATTGAGCACATCGCATCTCAGGTGATAGCACAGCTTTGAACTTGCATAATATGAGCCTCCGTGTCTTTAATAAAATTCCCAGATTTTACTATTAACATGACGTAAAGTCATGATTTTATTAAAGACACGGAGGCGAGTATTATTCCCTCCCGCCCTCCCGGTGTGGGGTATGGAGCGAGATGCGATTGGCGTATTCAGGTATGTTGAGTTTGACCTGCCTTGGATGTACTTCATGTGGTGTATTGCATATACTAATTAATTATGTCTATTATATTTTTCAGATTTCATTCCTTAACCTTATGACAGGCCGCTAGTTTTGTATTGGTAAGTCCACAGTTTGGAGTTTGGTTATTACCATATTTCTCTCTCTTTTTTAGCTTGAAATTGTCGGATTGTGCCAGTTCCCGGTTTTGGCCAAGCAGGATATCGTTCTTCTTACCTGGTCTTCGGTTTTCGCAAGAAAGAGGGGGATTGTGGGAGACACAGGCCTTATATAGTCACTTCCTCTGTTATATGATTGGTTGCCTGTGTATCTATACAGTTTTTTCTTTCATTTTTGATATATTTATATTCCTCTATCTTTGCTGCTGAGGAAATAAAGAAAGAGTTATGCATAATACTCACCTCCGTGTCTTTAATAAAATCATGACTTTACGTCATGTTAATAGTAAAATCTGGGAATTTAACTCCTAAATGACAGTGAATTGAGCAGTGAAATTGCAGGGGAATGATCTATACACTAAAACTGCTTTATTTAGCTAAAGTAATTTAGGTGACTATAGTGTTCCTTTAAATAAAGAAAAGACCTTGGAGGAAAAATCCATAATAGCTGCCTAGTGAATGGACTCTATTAGTTCATCCAGTCATGTGAATGGCCTCTACACTTTTACTTCCCTCCTGGGTTGTGAGGTTTAGGAAAATATAACTTTAAGGCTAACGGTTTCCCCTGAAAAGATCATGTCCAAAACATATAGCTATATATATGAAATGCACTGATCTGCATAAAAGTTGATCTCTTCTATTTCACTCAGCAAGCACTTTTGTTTTTTGAACTTACATGAGTTGTATTTTTTGCACGTAGGAATTACAAATACACTTTAAAATTTCTTTATTTTTTTTAATTAAACCAAGAATAGTGGAATATCGACAAAGAAATTAACGTTGGGGCGGGGCTTGAGCCTCATGGCGGACGGTCGTGTTTTGCAGGAGCTCCGAGCCCGACACTCACCGTGAACCGGCTACACTGCTCAATCACCTGTTACACAGACGGTTTTCGAGACTCACCTGTTCCAGAAGCCGGCGGGAGTGTCAACCGGTCCAGCTCTAACACAGAGGGATTTCTCGGAGAGGCCTGGTGGCGCAGCCCGGTGGGAGAGACTGCCGATATCTCGTCCTGCAGATCACCATGGCTACCCTTGATTGTCCCCCAGCTCTGTACCCCTCCCTCCCCACTGGACCGGTAGGTTTATCCAGGCCCTCACGGGCACACAGCATGCACCAACACACGGACAATATCTGCCATTCTGCGTGGCCGCAACATCAGACAAGATGGCAGTTGAGCACTCTTCTAGGGCAGACAGGCCCGTGCAGTGGGCTCTGATGCAACTGCACACACGGAACCTTTTACTAAAACGACTCGACTTTTTTGACTGTTTCTGGGATGCCTCGGCTGGAACACCCCTGACTCCGACTGAGAATCGCAGGAGAGCGGGCCAGGCGGTGAGTGGACCTACCTGTGGGTATCCACCCTCCCTATCCTCACCAGTCTCCAACCACCAGCCCACCCAGACTGAGGGCCATGAAGGGCACAGCCCCCAAGCATCGTCCACACAGACAGAAGACCAACCGAGGCCATCAGCGGCACACTGCCCAGGCCGTCTGTCCCTGTCAATGGAGACAGACTTGGTCCACTACTCCCAAGTCTGTGGCACACAGATGCAGGCCTACGACCTGGCCTGGGGTGGGAGGATCACCCCGCATGGGCTCCAGCACATCAAGGCCACCCGAAACCTCCACAAGCATGACATCCCTGATATTGGCATAGGCTGAAGGGACAAGTGCTAATGATCAGCGCAGCCACATGTTAGCCTGCACAACTGAGCTCCATGGGTTACTTACTATGACGAAAGTAACTTTTTCACTAGCTTTTGGAGGGGCCTGTTTGCCAGACTCCTACCCTGTGACTATGGCCCCTGTGTTAAACCCTATTTGAAAACACCAATTGTGCCTTTTGGACTTATAACAGGCTCTGTTTGTGCAATTGGGACTGGATGGTTCGTTTACCAAACAGCCGCACGAACCGTAGACCTCTCTGGAACTTGTTAAGCTTAAAGGACCACTCTAGGCACCCAGACCACTGCAGCTTAATGAAGTGGTCTGCGTGCCTGGTCCTTCTAGGGTTAACCCATTTTTTCATAAACATAGCAGTTTCAGAGAAACTTTCCCTATTTCCTCTAGCGGCTGTCTCATTGACAGCCGCTAGAGGCGCTTGCGTGCTTCTCACTGTAAATTTTCACAGTGAGAGCACACAAGCGTCCATAGGAAAGATTATGAATGCTTTCCTATGTGACCGGCTGAATGCGCGCGCAGCTCTTGCCGCGCGTGCGCATTCAGCCGACGGGGAGGAGAAGAGGAGGATCAGAGGAGGAGAGCTCTCCGCCCAGCGCTGGAAAAAGGTAAGTTTTACCCCTTTTCCCCTTTCCAGAGCCGGGTGGGAATGAGTATGAGCCGGGCGGGACGAGTATGTTTTCTTGGCACTATAGTGGTCCTTTAACTGATACATGGTTGCAATTTCCACCTTGTTCGCATGGACGAAAGCCGTGAATGTCCTGGAACTATTTTCGGCATGAAAACCTCGCGGTTCCCTGTCGGTCCTCCAGCGGCACTTAGCCTCGATTCTATAGAACTATTTTCGGTATGGGACCATGCCTGCAGTCGGTAAAAACTATGACTTCCATAAAATTTCTGAAACCCTGAACTGATCTGGGTGATTTTTGGATATGTTGGTCACCCAGATCAGGGCTATCAGGGGATGTAACATTTGTGGTGGTTTTTTTTTAAATTAGATTAGAATTAGTACAGCTATTGATCCAATTACAATCCCTCCTCCCTGCTTGGGAGATATGTTTGTTATGGGAGTGTCAGGCATTTATGGGAGTGTTCCTGCTACGCTCTCTGGACTAGGAGATGTCTACCCACTGGAAGCTCGATCCTGGTCTTGGGTCCAGAGTGGGTGGAGGACGGCGAAACCCCAATCAAGGTGCGGTGGTTTGTGGGGTTTACGGAAGTTATGGTATTCCAGTACAGTGCTCATGGTGCTCACAAGTACTAGGAAGCAGCGATTGACTGAGGTACCCCAGTCAGGGTGCCAGGCGGTGTGTTACAATTACCATAGCCACCTGTCTTGTTCTGACGCAATAGCTTTCCTCAGAGAGCAACATTGACTTGCCTGCAATAATCGGGGACTCTTGGCTGCACATTTACATTTATGTATTGTTCAGGTTTTGTCCCCTATGCTTACCTTCTTATGTCCTGTGGTTCACTCGTTAATATCTGCTTGCACAGTTTCCCCCAGGTATCACCACCTATACATCTATCTACATTACTGACCATCATGCTAACACTATGCCTATCTTGTCTTTACACTACACTGAGAGATGGTTTACTCCCAGATCACTTACTATGGGCTTGGTGGCTACCCTTTAGCTAATGTGACACCATTGCTT